TTTGAGAAAGAGTATAAGGGAACTAAGAATTCTCAAATGTATCATTTTTACATTGAGAAAAGATAAATTTTGATTTCTAAATGCTTTAATGAGTTTAGAGATTTTTCATAGCAGTTGCTTCTCTTAAGAGGATATTTTGAGCAAGTACCTCAAAATGAGAAAGAGTATGTTTTATACATTTGAGCATGAGGATATATTTATTGGGAGTGGTATTGAGCATGAATATGGGGATGGATTTAGAAAAATCACATTCCTCATAAACCATGTAAGCAACATGGGTAAATGATCATACTTTTTAGATGATTCCTTATTTCTTTCGAGCAGAGCTTTAGTGAATCCACTTAGTTGATGTGTTTTATACCTCTGAAAGGTATAGGACAAGTCTGGTAGCGTGGGGGAGATTTTGTATCATCACGTAGCTAATAGTGATGATTGTCGGTTAGAGAATCTCTCAAATAAGAGTAAAGAGTAATTTATTGTATTTTTATATACATCCTTGAGTTAGCATATTTTATTTATGAAGTTTAAAAATTTCTTATCTTATTATTTCTTTGTATTTAGTTGAGTTGAGGTGAGTATTCTTCCAGCCTTATCAGTTCATTTATTTATTCATTCAGCTTATTACATTCTCGTACATTCAATGTATTGATGTCATTCGACCTGCATCTTTCTATGATGCATATGTAGGTGTGAATGATCATTAACAAGCGCTCTGTTGAGATCACTTTGCACTTCTTGATAGCTTTGGTAAGCCTTCCTTGCATTCCGGAGGACTCCACTCTTGTCTTTTAGTTTGGTAATTTTGAGTGTCGTGGGTCTTGTCTAACATCCATGTTGAACTATAGAGGCTTCATCGATAGTTAGTGTTGAGTTTCTATCGGTATTTCCTTTGAACTATTTTGACAAACTATCATTATTTTCAGACAGCTTTGAGTATAGTATTTTGATATAGTTTGAGTTTTGAGTAGTTTTTAGACTTTTGAATTTAAATTCTGTTTTAAATCTTATTAAATTTGCTTGAGTTAGTCTTTCGCTAAGTAGTTAGTCAGGCCAAGGGTCCGCTTGGGGATCAACAATGTTTCTCGAGTGTCGTCTACGTCCAAGGTATAGGCTCGGGACGTGACAAGAGTCCTCCTCGCATCTTCAAGACTTCAGTTATGATTTATTAGTTTATTGTTCAATCATAGGTATTTTGTTTACAGGCAGCTTGAGTTAAGTCCCGGTAGACTCATTTAGTTTAGTTACTTGAGACTTCATTTAGTCACAGTAGTTTCATCCTAGTTTTTTTATATTTATTTCAGATGTTCTCAGTTTTGGAAAAATGAAAAAATATATTTCATTTTCAGCCTATAATTATTATTTCTCATCTTTCACATTTTCAGTAGTCAATCTTATAGCATTTGAGGCCGGACAATAATGATTTCGAGTGTCGGTCATGCCCAAAATGTTGATTCGAGGGGTAGCAATCACACGATATTCGTATTTATGATAAATAAAATAGATTGATTCATATTTTACCTACAATCTTAAAATGATTGGATAATAATTCATTTAAAATGGATTGAATCAGATGAATAGCCGTGAATTTTATCCATTTTGTCATTCCTAGATTCACGTAATCCATTAAGATAGCCATCAACGGCCAAAATTAATTTAGTAATGTATCATCCCACCTCGTCCTTTAAATCCCATCCAATACCTAGCTTATATAAATAAACTTATAAATCATGAATATAAATCACCCTCACCATTAGAATAAACAATAAAGGAGCGGCACAAATATACTTGGTATGCCTTTTTTCTTCTATTGCTTCCTACAAATATTTATGAAATGGTATATTTAATACTTATATAAGTTTTGATTTATTAATTAGCTTCGTCCTCTACTATTATTAGTTATAGCTTGCATCTTTTTTTTTAAGCGGTCTCAAATTTTACCATTTATGCTTAAATTTGAAGTGGTTGATAAGAATAGTAAATTAATGAAAAAGAACACAAAAATGTCAAAGTGCAACACACGTTAATGATATGATTCTAGATGCAACAACAACAAATAGGTTTACAATTAAATAAGCAAGATAAGATAACAAGGATATATATATGTAAGAAATAAAAAGGAATGGGATAATATTTAGAAGAAGAAACGAAAATCTAGCAATTAAAAGATATTTAATTACTAGAATTATAAATTCAAGGAAGAAAGAAAATTGAACTCGTATGAGGAGAATATTCACCCAAGTAATCAAGATGGTTCAATTGGAGCGATACTAGGGTTTTCATACAACTCACAAAGGGGCCCGGACATCAAATGTTCAACAAAAACTAACTATTGAGATAAACCTTAGTTTCTACTACTTATTTAGAATAGTAGATAACAAACCTATGATAGTTACTACAATACTCTCAAGCTAAAAGCAAGAAAATTATTTTGTCTAGGCAATTATCTATCTAAAAATGTAATCTCTCTTTTGTATGTTATAAACTTTTCATGTTTCTTTTATTGATCTTCTAAGGTTTTTAAAGTACTTCAGATCTAGTTGATGGTCTTCATATCAACGATGATATATTCGTACCCCATCATTCTTCCCTTGTTGAAAAGAATCCATCCTCAAATTATTCAAGCCTTGCAGAATAAAGAAGTATAACAACACATGTAGTCAAAGAATCTGTTAAGCGCCTTCAAATTTATTACAGGTGTGATCATTAGTTACAAACACATTAAACTAGAAAAAATCATCACTTGCACAAGTAGCTTCAACTAGTGAGTGACTACAAGATTCAACATGACTTTCAACCCAGACTTTTCTTCAGCTTACTGAAGCAGTGAAGACATGACCTTATAATAGAAGTGTTTGAAGGCCGTGGATAGGGTAGAAGATTAGTTAGTATGCGCGCGGGATAGACTTAGTGGTCGAGTTGGACCTCCTCTCTTACTAGTGGTATTAACACTTTTCTCATAGTTTTTTGTTCTTCAGATATCACTTGTGTTTCTTTTGCTTCAAATGTCACGTTAATTTGTTGTCATACTGTTCATTCCTATGTATGTGTGTAATATTCTTCATGATTCACATTATTTCGTGGTTGTTGCTACTCTTACTTTTGTATTTCTTTATCCAAATTGCTTGAAGGTGCATTATTTTAAACCAACGATCTATAAGAAATAACCTCTGTATCTCTACGAGGTAGGGGCAAGGTCTGTGTACACTCTATCCTCCCCATACCTCAATTGTTGGATTATGAATATGTTATATTGTAATTGATTTTTAAGATATAAATGATTCAAAAAATATAGTTTTTCTTCTTCAATAGCATGAATGAATAAGAAATTTCAACAAAAAACATTATCTTTTTTTTTTTTGAATTGCATAAAAGAAAAGTAGCATTTAATTTATAATTTCAATATATTTTCAATAATTATATTTTAATATACTCAATTATGAACGAGAGTGTGAGTATAAGAGTCTCATAGATGTTCATTTTGACTTGTCTATTTTCTGAAAATCAAGAGATAAGTTATCATTTAGTTTCTAAATTTTAATTATAGTCGTGTGACAATGCATTAAACTTATTATATTTAAAAATGATATGATAAAATTATCATTCTATTCATTGCTCCTTAAAAGGTGTGTTACGTCAATACTGAATAGTTTCAACTTTCTATATGTTGGAGTCTCCATATTGTATTTGTGTATATACATATGTCTTCTAATTAATTGACCTTGTTGGAGGTGGACTGATGAAATTCCTTTTGGTTATTAGGAATTGTGAAACAAGTTATGGAGCAAGTCATGGAAACTACAAATTTTGGTTTGAAGTTGTTGGTTGATAGCAAAGCTCATAAAGTTGTGTTTGCTAAATGTGGAAAAGACTTCATTGACTTTTTATTTACTATACTCAAATTACCAATTGCATATTTCATTAGGCAGCCTAGTTGTGTTTGGTTGTCTAGCCAACATGATCCCAAATTTTATGCAACTTGATGAAGTTGGTGAAGTCATGACATGGATCATCACAGATGATTTGTTCATTGCACCAATATCTGCAACTAGTGTGATCAATGTGCTAAGAACATTTAAGACACAAGTTGATCAACTTCAACACAAGACCATTGATTTTCAGATTAGTGATTTGGTAAGAAAATCTTCATGTATCACTTGAGTTACTTTTATGTCCCTTGATTTTAAATATTTTAGGCATAATATATAAACAGACATTTAAATTTGGACTCATCCGATCCGGTAAGTAAATATTCTTAACTTTGAGTATGCACCTAGACACCTGAACTTGTCCCCACACTGTCAGTTGAACACTCCAACTTACATAATGATCATCTAGACACGTTCAAAATTTATATGTCACGTCATCATTGGATGTCCATAAGACACAATAGAACGAGTTGGAGTGTTTGGTTGTCAGTTGTGATCATGTTGAGGTGTATTACTTGCCACTTAGCAACTAAGGGTCAATTTAAGAGTTTGTTTATAGATTATGCAAACCATTTAATAGCATTGGAAATTCAATTAATGATCATGAGTGATTAATGTTTAATGTTTTTGGTTTGTTCAACCAAATCCAGAAACAAGAGTTCTTGCAGGTTTCTTTGAGATCCAAAATAGTTCTAACTAACCTTTTTCTCAGACAGACAAGATGGAGAAAATCAAACAATGGTTAGTCATATTTTAATTGTATAAAAAAATATTACATAAATGTTTTTTCATTCTACAGTGGAGTTTTGCCATTTAATCCTCTATTATTCCAATTTATGTGAGACTTTTCAAATTTTGAGAATGAGTTTTTTCTTAATCATGAATTTTTATATGCCTTACAAATATCTTAAATTATCAGTTATTGTTACTTATACTATCGTTTATATCATCAAATTTTTTGAAAATTCAAGCCTAAGTTTGCGATCAAAATTGAAAAGTTTACTTTCGAACTGTTGTTACACATAAATCAGTATTTAAAAGTTGTACTAAAATCAGAAATTTGGTCTTAGTAAAATGTTTTTGTTCTCAGGAGAAAAATGCAGTTTGAAGCTTACAATTGACACTAAAACCAATAGAGTTGTCTTTGCTGAAGGTGGAAAAGACTTGTTTTGTTTTCTTATGAGCTTACTTGAACTTCCAATTGCAATTTTTATGAACCACATTCAAACCAATAGAGTTGGCTCTATCCCAAATATATACCAAAGTGTTCAAAATCTAAATGATGCCTATATTCAATCCAATGAAACAAAGGATCAACTCCTCAGGTCAAGTGAATCAAAATCTTGGTCTCAAGCTTTGGAGTTAGTTCAAGGTAATTTCTTAGTACTGTATATGTTTCAATTTGTTTGTTTTCAGGTGAATCAAAATCTTGGCCTCAAGCTTGGGAGTTAGTTCAAGGTAATTTTTTAGTACTGTATATGTTTCAATTTGTTTGTCTGTAACATGTTTCAATTTGTTTGTTTGTAATCTGTTTTAATTTGTTTGTTTGATTTTGATTTGATATGAAATTTAAAAAAATAAAGAAGATTTTTGAATCTTGTGGTCTAAAACTAAAGATATGTATATAGATTGTTTGGCCAAACTTTTAAATTCATCTTATTTTGAAAATTATTTTTTAAATAAGTATTTTTGGTGAGAAACAAATTTTTCTTGATTAATATATATTTTTTTAAAAATACTTTTGAGGAACAATTATCTGGTTTTTGTATATATATATCACAAATATATCATTGATGAAGGTTGTTTGCTTGTCCTAAATTATCTATGCAGCTACTCCAAACAGGTTTTTGGATAGTGATGGTGGTTATGTCAAAGGACTAATAGTGTACATGGTAACTGATAATTTGTCAGTAACCCTTCTGTCTATGATATCTGGCTTGTCAAAGCTGACTAATGTAGAATCAACTGCTGAGTTTGAAGTGAAGACAATTGAGTTTGGTGTGAATGAGGTGGGCCTTTACTTCATATACTTTTCTCAAAAAGGATTTAACTTATATATATTGACAGAATAATTTATATTTTTTGTGTCTTTTGAACTTGTTATAGGAGGTCGTTACTTTACATTGTCAATTTATGGAAGATAAGTTCTCTCTTTCAGTAATGACATTGGATTTATGTTAATTTTCTTAATTTATTCGCAGGCTCTAGATATTTTAGAAGCATCCTTTCAATCGAAGACAGTGCTAAACAAGACATTTCTTAAAGGGCATGAGTTTGACGATCTCGCGTTTATTTGAAAGAAAATTATGGAAATAATCTCTTTTAGTTTGGACAATGCTAGCTAATGATTTGGTTTCAGACTTCTGTTATTATGTACTTTGTATTCTTTTTGTTTTTAGAATAAACAATTATCAGTTATGGATTGAACTTAAATATTTATGCTTTAGAAACAATCTTGTTTAAAAAAGATGTATGGGCAATGTTGAGGTCGAACACACATGCAAGTGTACGTGGTTAAATAATTGATAGAGTGATAGAATTAATGTCTCGTAGCACAAAGACTTATGATTAGCTGCTAACTAATTCAAAATTGAATGAAATAATTATTCGAGAGATTTTTTAAGATTGAGAATATTTTATGGTGCTAATTTCAACGATTTAATAAAGGTTAAATGAATAATGTATGGTTTTACACTGTTGTCATCAACTAGATTGGTAGATAGTAATTCACTATTAGCTAAGCAATATATAGTATAGTGGAAACCTGAATGGCGATTGGCTTAGTCATTTTCCTAATAGCAACATGTCACTTGTCTCGCTTAACATTTCTTGTATGGTGTCTAAGGTCATCGGCTTTGGAGCGTCTAATTTGAGGATTCTTCGTGGTTAACCTTGCCATGACTGTTGAGAAGCTTCCTGACATTCTTTGTCACACTTCCCAATTTATATATCTAGTCCATCCACTATAGTCTTGCGCCTTTGAATTTAAGCCATGCTACTATTCGAATCCCTGATCTTGAAAAGATGATCAAGCACTCTTGCAAATTGCGACAAATGTGGGTAAGTTCTAGCTTGTATACCTAGATTTACATGTTGATAGTTTTGAGACTTGATACATTAACTGCATTTGTAATAAAATAGAAAAACTTATCCATGTCATTTGTACAAAGGGGTCATGTCACTCAGTGTAAAATAGAAATATTGGAATTAAAAACATTCCAAAATATAAAAAGATATATCGTTCTTTTTCAAACGGGCTAAAATGGAAGATAACTCACTTAGACAAAAAAGGATAGAGTATATTTTTGTTTGTAGATTACCCTTTCCTAAGTACTTTGTAGAGATCAAAAAGTTACCCCGTTGAGAAACTCTACATATACAGGAGAGTGGCAGGATAGAGGTAACTTCCACATGCCTGATTCCGTTTGGACCGTTGATGGAGATGCAGTAGCATCAATGTCATATAGAACCGGGAAGCTCAAGTGGATGTTATGGTCCTCAAACATTTTACTATAACTAATTTTCAAACACGTGCAACGCACGTGTATATCGTGATAATTAGTATAAATACTTCTAAAATATAAGTTTATGATGTGTAAAATACAAGCGCGAATCAATGAGCGGTGAGCATATTCAACTTATATTATTATCATTGCAAGGCGCATTATACAAAAATATTGTTATCAAGTGAATTTCAAAACTAATACTATAAGGACTTCAATTATACAATTCTTATAATATATCAAGTATTCAACTTGTTAAAAGTTCTTTTTTTAACATGTTATAACACATAATTTAAATGTCGACTTTATAGTTACAAAATATTTGATGCCTTAAAGTTTCCGCCTTCTTTTTAAGGAATAATACCCTCCACTTTTTTATAGATGCATATATATCGAGAACTTGTCGAAGGAGAGTGGTGTTTTGTAATAGTTCTAGAGAAATTCGATCAACATACGTATTCCTTAGTATGACTAGTAGATCATTATCAGTTTCATAGTCTACACCTACAAAAAAATGTATTTATTTGTTATAAAATAATCATTGTTTAAATATTTAATTGATATATATAAATAATATTTACATGTATATGTACCCTTCGTCTTCTTTGACTCATTCAAAATTATTAATTCTGCCATCTGTAAATTTTGACAAAAGAATTTTTTTGTCAAGTTCTATACATATAATTGAATTATGAAAGACAACACAATCATTTGTGAGATATTAACAGTATAGTAGAAAAAGAAGACATTATAAACAAAAAATTATATGGTGCAAAAAAGAAATGCATATAAGAAAAAAAGAGATAACTTTAAATTTGTATAAATACATACTTATGGACCAACCCAAAAAACAAATGAATTGCATATAAGAAAACTTGAAATCATCATAGATTACTAAAATAAAACCAATAGACATAAGAATAAAGATAAAAGGGATCATACAAGAAATCGGATAAATGAGAGGATTTAAGCTTTTAAGTAACAAAACAAAATGAAAGAAGAAGAGGCATACATGTTGAGCTTGTTTCATCACAATGATGAGGGTTACACATATACTTGATATCCATTTATATAAGATGTTTAATGACTAAAAGTTAATAAAAAATTATTATTGATGATGTTGGATCAATGAAGGAAAATAGAGGGCCAAAAGTTTTGGCTGTGTACAATTTTTAAAAGGTTATAAATGATATTATTAGTAGTCAATATAACATTAAGACAAACAAAAACATTTTGAGTATATCTTTAAGTTTTGAAGAGGCGGTAATAGAAGGAAATTATTAACATTATTTAGCTTAACTTTAAATAAGGCAACAACGTGTGGAATTTTTATTAGGAATTTGAAGAGGCTGGAAAAAGTATTATTAGCATTAACATAATAAGGTACTTATTTAACATATTTCAGTATAGTATTATATAAGGCAAACACGGAGCATTATAATTAGCTATATTGTAACGTGTACTAATTATTAGGCATCATTAGTATCTGTTAAACTTCTTATTAACTCACATCTGTAGTGAATGAGAATCACTAAAATAGGGATTCAATTGATTTTTAAATGTAAATAAAGTCACCTAAATGTGTGCAAGAGAAAAGAAATTACAACTATTTAATTTTAAAATGTAATACCAACTTAACCTCAATCAATTCATCTTACTATTTGTTTCCTTTAAAAATAAGGGTGAAATTATAACATCATAATATTAGATCGATCCTATGCATAACTTTAAAGCAATGAACCAAACACTGCATGTATAATTTATAAAACAAAACCATGAAAATGTCGAATCAAATGAATTTGGTTCATGTAAATATAAGGTAATCAAACTTAGTCATTATAAGACAATGTAGAAGTCATACTTGATATTTCTAACTTTATGAATTCATCTTACTCCAAATTCGTATTTCTAAATAAAGTGAAGATGTCGAACTTGCTATACACTTTATTGTTACTAACAAATCATAAATTAATTTAGTTGGTTTATTAAAAAAAATATCAGCTTCAAAAATTAAATGCAAAGAATATCGTTATTAGTTTTAAAAGCAAAACAATAATTTAGATAAATAATATATAATAGTTCAGAGAATTAGATAATTTTTTTAAAAATATGTTCAATTAGTAAACAGTAAGTAAAAAAAAGGATTATGTAGTTGTTTGTACCTAGAACTCCATCCTAATTTTTTCTGTTTTTATCTCTTTTATCTTCATCTGAATTCATTAATATAGACACCTCAACTATTGATTAGTTTAAGCAAAAACAAAATAAAATCCTTCCTGTGTCCATTTGTATTTCCAAAACATTGTAGTTGTGAATATATTAAGTATAATTGTTAGTAATTAGTAGAGAATACCAAAATTACTTCAAGCCAAATAGCACCGGATACATTGCAAGGCAATATGTATAGTGATTTTATATTTCTACACAAAATAGTAACAAGAAATACTAGAAGAGAAACAATCATAAATAAAGAATTAGAATTGAAACAATCCTTTCTAATTTGAAATTTTTTATCTATAAATAATAAAAATCTTACAAACAAACAATAGAAGATAGAAAAAGAAGGAACTTAACCATATGAGTACGTAGAAATGCTAATAAAAAAGTTCAAGATAATAAATTTGTATTTGATAGTGAGATATATTGATTTAGCTACAACTCTTCATATTCTTTAATTAAATATTAAAAGGAGGAAAACATTGATTCATGTACTTATTTAATATTCTAGAAATCCTAATTCGCTCTTGTTCTTCCACATTCCCTTCCTAATAAATAACTTACAATTCAAAAAATAATTAAAATAATATTATTTAATTAATTAGATGTTTAATTTAGTCTAGGGGTAAAATGGTAATCCAACTTTTCATCTTTGGAGCTTCCCACTTATAATAATATATATGATGATATGATATATCACATTAATTACTTTCTTCAGTTTCTTTGTGTTCTTCCTTCTTTAGGAAAGTGACAAAGCTAGTCCTTAAGTATCACTTGAATACTTTTGATCCTTTGAGTTTGTCAAAAGGGATCACTTTTGAGTTTGAATTTATTAAATTCTGATGGCTAAATTTAATCCGAACTGTGAAAATAATTTGGAAGAATAGATTTTGTAGTTTATATTATTATTTTTATCTATTTCACGAGTCTAGTGTAACCTTTTTGAGGCACAATTACTGTTAATTTTTATCTATTTTTTTTATGTATGATGTAGTTTTTTATGTTGCGATGTCTGGAATTTTAACGAAAATTTCTGACGTTTTCCAGTTCCAATAAAATTTAAGTAGCAGTGTTTGCTAAATATTTGACAGAAATTCTCACTTTTTGACAAAATTGCCAAAACTGTTCAGTTAATACTTCTCGGTTCACCTGATGAAGTTTTTATCTACTTTTTATACATCAGATCCTGAGAATTTGAACGGAGGTGAATGAAGAAGGAAAGGTTACTTTCATGGAAAGAGGACAAGAAAATGAAGGAGAAAGAGAGAAAGGGAAAGCAAACAACTCATCGGTATGCCATACAATATTAAACTAAATATATTGACTTGGATGATTATCTTATTGCAATCCTCAAAACACAATATTGTTAAGAGTGAATAGGCTAAAAACTCCCTAAATTATAATTGTTTTGCAAATTTCATGTTGGGGAATTAAACCCTCACCAACAATATGAAAGTTTAGGTAGCCAGCTAACTGAGCTACTAATATTCCCCCAAATGCTAAGAACTCATACATAAAGTATTAACATTTTTGCTTTGTGATATATATATAGTTATGACTGCAGGCCGAACATTTAG